GACCACAGGTATGCCTACCTGCGCTACAAACAGGCTGTGTCCCAGGCTGACCTGTTGTTTTTCTGGTACTGGGCAGGTGTGAAACTGAGAGTCACTTCCTCTGTGCTGTTGAAAACTGGTCAGACAAGGTAGACATGCCAGGGTCTCTATCCAGCTAAAACCACAGAAGGAGGAAGGAAGCCCTGTGTTTATGAAACACAACTGTAGTGATGGTACAAAAAGTCCCACAAGCGGCTATGGACTCTAGGCCAGGCCATTTATTATAACTGATTTAGTGATCTATCTGCATGTTGCGTCTGGTTTTGTCAGTCTCTGACTTTGAGAAGGTGGTTACAATACACTGCAAAAGAGGACAGTAGCCTGCAATGGGATACACCGATATAGTCATTAGAAGGGGAAACTCAGCAGCTATTTTTTGGACTAAGAGTTGTTGACTTTTTGGAGCTTAATTGTACTTAATTCAGTTATTCAGTACAGTGAATGGAATGCACATCATTGCTTATTTTTCTGAAACACATATGTAGAGACCAAAGTTCTGTAGCAGTTTGTGGTGTTTGGATGATAACTTCTTGTTTGAGTTAACTATTGTATTATCCTTGACCAAATAAACTCCTCCAAGGTAAAAGTCTTGTTAGGCTTATTAATTATTATTAAGAATACTAGTTACCAGGTGAGGAAGCATTATGCTATTGATATGTTATGTGAGCTTAAGCAAGTCGCTTCATCTCTGTGCCTCAGTTTTCCCATCTGTAAAATGGGAATTATCATGTTTGCTTTCATTTGTAAAGCACTGTGAGATCTAGCGATACAAGATGCTATATAAAAGTCTGAGTTAAAATCATGTTTAGAAATTGACATTTTGTATTACATCAGCTGTATGAAAGGGGAGGTTGAGGTGACCATCTTTGTTGTGGGCATATGGAATGGTAACTTCTGAGAGCAGTGTCTAATCAGGCTGCAGGGGGTTGCATGCTGTACAGTTAGTGAAAACTGCCACACAGTGGCGAGCCACTAATGGTAGAGTTTTCCTGTGCTCTGGTTCGCTGAAGCTATATTATTTCACAGGGTGACTAGCAGCCAGTCAAGCGCTCAGTAAGAGAAGTGCATTTCGGGTTTTTTTTGGCTCAATTTGCTCTGGGCCACATCATGGTCCCTCCTCTGCAGTCCTGGAGAGTCCTGATGCAGTGGAACTGCTTCAGTTGTGCTTTGCTACAAGAAAAAAATTGGGGTTGGGTTTGGGGACTCTCCGTGGATCTGTGCTCTGCAGGGGTGGGATAGCTCAGTGGTTTGAGCATTGGCCTGCTAAACCCAGGGTTGTGAGTTCAATCCTTGAGGGGGCCACTTAGGGATCTGGGGCAAAATCAGTACTTGGTCCTGCTAGTGAAGGCAGGAGGCTGGACTTGATGACCTTTCAAGGTCCCTTCCAGTTCTAGGAGATAGGATATCTCCATTAATTTAATTTATCCCAGGATGCAAGGCACTTTGGAGTACAGGGCAGGGCCTGTGGATCAGCGCTAACATGGGTTTACAGCCATTCACCATGAGGCTGCCATGGCCTAGCGGGAGGATTCCTTTCCCTGCAGAGATCGCATCAGGCTAGAGTCCAGGCTTTGGCACTTCATTGCCTGGGCTGCTGGTGACAGTGACTGTGGGTGTAGGGGGGTGAGAAAGAGAGAGAGAATTACCATTTAAAATAGTAATGTGAGTTTTCTGCGCCGACTCATAGGTTGGGCGTCCTTGTGTGTAACATGGGAATGTTACTTAGTGGACAAGCAGAAGCCCCTGGCTGTAGTGAGGCCACTTTATTCCTACCATCTGAAAGCAAGTAAGCAGCAGGTACTTATGCCCGCCAGCTCTGAATCCGAGGGTGTGCACAACCATGTCGCCCTGTCAAGAACCACCCAGCAGCTACTTTTTTTGGTATTAGATCTGTGACTGCCACTTGGCTCTGAACTGGGTAACACAGTCTGGGCAGACAACAGCGTTTGAGGGTTTTTTCTGTCCTCCAAGAGCCTTTGTAACTCCCTGCCGGTCCCTCCCACCCCCATCTTCCCAGTGACTACGGATGAACGCATGCTTCCTGCACCTGGGCCCACAGTGGGTGTAACTCCTCCACAAGCTGGCACAAGCCACGTGTTTAGGGGCAAGGCAGAGGATTGGCAAAAACACTTTTAGAATGAGCCAGAGTGACACTTCAGGAGACCCATGGAAACCAGGCTTTATGTTGCCTTGATCCCAGTGGCTGTGTGATTAAGGGATAATACGGATGGTGGAGGAGTACAGTGTATGAGGCAGTAAAGAGCTTTACTAGGTGATTAAAGATGCAAGAGAAATAGAGAGTTTCATGTTACCACAAAAATCATTTTTGTCGTGCTTTGTGTGGTTTTGAAAGTGGGGGAGGGGGATGGGATGTGACCAGTGTCTCCTTGTTCACTGAGCTCAGGCTGAGCTCAGGACTCAGGTGAGTAATTGTCAGGGTGGGTGGTAGGGATGTGAGAGAAGGAGTTGCCTGGAAAGGAGCAAGGCAGCTGCTCATGCAGCGCTGTGTCCTGTCAGCACAGATTTGTGTGCCATTTACAAGGGGATAAGGTGAGATGTGGCTGATCTGTGATTGGCTGAGATCCTTGCCTTGGCAGATGGTGACACAGGTAGGGTCTAAAGAGCCTATTGCTGTCACTCAGGCTAATGGGCTGTGTCCTCACAGTGGTAATCTTCCAAATTGCTGCCTGCCTGTTCCCAAACACCACCGTATATCTGCTGCAGGTTGCATTTTGAGTGAGGATCTATAGGAGTCAGTTCACATTGAGAACCGAATTGTCAAAGGTCATTTGAATTCACACACATATGCAGGATGAGTAACTGCACTCAGTCAAGAGCCTCATTTTGTGCAAGCAGGCAGAATCGGGTGCAGTGACAGTGTGCACACGTATTCCTTTGAAAAATTGTCCCTTAATACTCCTGTAAATGGTCCTCTTGAGGGTCTATCTACTGAACAGTAATCTGGGTGAAGGTTTATAAGTCAGTCAGATAGTGCAATGAGTTTGTTTTCCATGAATGGACCCATTTTACAGAAGGGACTTTTAACATGAGTGTCCACCTACCAGTAGCACCAAGAGACAGCAGCTTGTGAGAGCTACACTTCAGGAATCTGTACTGAAAGGAAAAATTTCCCTTGGCTATGCCAATAAGCCTCCAGCCAACCACATACAGCATGTGATTACCCAAAAGGGTCAGCTCAGGTCCAAATGTCTCTGTGCCATACACAGTTTCCCATGGTCAGAGCACAGCAGCAGTTTCTAAAAGACACTTTTAAACATTTAAAATTAATCACATTTTCCTCAATGTTGTTTAGAGAAACTGTAAAGATTTCTCCCCTCCTCCTCAATTGCATTCTGCTAACTGGCTCTCCAGTGAACAGCCCTCAGATTTAAACTCCTGGAGGCTGGTAGCCCGTGTTTATGGTGGAGGGCCTCACCTCTGGAACTTATTCTTTTCTGGGTCTGTGAGTATCCAAGTTTGTTCCTTCGGGGTGGGGGGAGGAATTGTGCATGTTTTACACAATAAAAGTAGTTTCAGTATGTGTGTGTGCATATATATATATATATGCTCATTGGCCTGTAAGCATAAGGTACCTTGCATTGTTCATAGGTCTGTGGGTTCAATCAAGTTGTTGTGCACTGCAAATGGATTCTTGTGTGTGGCCCTTAACAGGGCATATTGCCATCTTAATGGTTTGATGGGCACACCAGAGTGGGTGGTAGCTTGGGCCAGATAAATCCCTGGTGATGAACAAAGTTCAGTGGAGAGGAGATGAGTTACAACAGGAAGAGTTTGGCTCCTTTGGCCTGATTCTTCTCTTATGCACACTGGTTTTGACACTGAAATAACTCCTGATTTATGCCAATGTAAGAGAGAGCGAGGAGACTCAGATCCTTTGTGTCTAAATGACTGGTTGGTTGTGGGGGTTTTGAGTTCCTGTCTATCACGGTGTTTGTTGAGATTAATCTGGAGCCTGTCCTATATTTTTAAACTGTAAAGAGGTCCAGAGTTTATATTGATGAACACACATGTTATAAATACAATTAAACTGCTACTCATAATATAGTAAGCCCTCAAAGGTTGAAACTGAGATCTGTTTTCCCCCCTCTATCACCTGTGCATATTGCCAGTTTCAGGTGCTTGCGGGTGTTAATAAAATGTTCTCAATTTACAAGTTAGAAAAAGTTAAGATGCTTTTGTTTCTAATTTCTTATACTGGGATCTGAAAGTCAAGCTGGGTTCCATGACCAGTAATAAAGATCCTGCAGTTAGAAGTTAGCTGTCAATTTTGTTGATGATGAACAACCCAGACCACTCTGTTAGCTGTATTGGTACTGACATGATAACAGGAGCAAATGCGATGGCCACCGTCTTGGCTGACACACCAAGGATTGAACCCAGAACTTCAAAACTAAAACTAAGAGCTACTACAGCTTGAGCTAAAAAGCCACAAGTCTCTAGTAGGTGTCTGTAGCAACTCATAACCTCTGTGGATTGGCACAGCAAGGGACCCATAACATACACTCACCCATGAGTTTTACACAAGCCGTTTTTGTCAGCAGCATTAGCAGATGCAATTGGGTCTGGAGATGTTATGTAAGAACATGACATTTATTTCATACTTTTTGGACAATAACTGTTCTTTAAGAAAAGGAGCATTCAAGCAGTGTGACCCTTACAGGCAAGGATTATCTCTTTTCTGTGTTTGTAGAGTGCCTAGCACAATGGGACCCCAATCCCCACTGAGTACGGGGCACTATCGTAATATAAATATTAGCTAATAATGCAAATTAGAAAAGCGAAATAATGGGGAGGAAGTGCCCCTGAGGTCAAATGTTGAGCATATCATTCTTGATGGTGTTCAGTGCATCATCTGTTTTAAAAAAAACCACATTCATATTGGAGACTCTTGCTATGGAAATGGAGTACAAGACTCTGACAGTAAAATATTTTACTAACAGGGAGAAGACTGCGAGGAAAAGCCTTCTACAATGTCAATGGTAAAGTGTACTGTGAAGAAGACTTCCTAGTAAGTAAGATTTCAGGCCTTTCTCCTGTTTGCTTGTTTTTAAAGTGAACGTTGTTGTTGTTGTGCAAGTGAACGTTGTTGTTGCTGTTTGTTTTTGTGCTGGCTGATATGTAGTGTGAGACCAGTTAGCCTTTGAGCCTGTCCCTGCACCTACTGAAATCAGCGGGAGTTTTGCCATTGACTTCAGTGGCAGCAGGATCAGACCCTTAGACTGAAATTGTAGCCATGAAACCAAGTGCATAACTGTCTGTAAATCATCTCACAGTATAAATTATAAGAGTAAACACGAGCTGTTCAAGCTTTGGGCTTGAATTGCAGCCACAAAGCTTGCCAAGCCTAAGCTCAAACTCAAACATCTGGGGAATACCAATCATAACAAGAGGGGAGACTTCTTAGACTGCAACGTGTCATCACTGTGTACAGTGTTGCTTTATTAAAGGCATAGTTTTAATCACTATTCTGCTACGAACTGCGTGGAGCTGCAGTGTGATTCGCTGAAAACCACGGAGGAACAACTAATTTTCTCTCAACAGACCCAGTGGCTTTGCAAGTGCTGTATGGTATTAGGGGCTGATTCATGAAAAGAAAAATGGAGGATGCTGCTGAGCTGTGTTCCAAAAATACAATGTTTGTTCAGTTAAGGGGAGGATTCTACAAGTAATTCAACGGACAGAAAATGATTTGATTGAATGACAGTTACTCTACATGTCATCGAGATTAAGATGAGATGATGTTTGGGAACTGAAATCAGAGAGGAGTGTCAAATGTTTGCTTACAAGATGAAAGAATTAATATGTTGAATTTACAGCATCTGGCTCCTTATTTATTGAAACAGCAGCATCCTTTTGGAGGCTGTGTCTGAGGTTACCCCCCATCCATATGTCATGAGGGTATTAATATCTTCACACAACCTCAGACAATGCTTGTCCCACACCAAAAACTTTAACTGGCAGTTCCAGGGCTTCTCAAGTGCATTTCTCATCAATGCAACCCATAAAAATCAAGGAAATCTCTGGTATAGGAATCATATCTACCTTCATACCTACCTGTACACACCCCCAATCCCATCCTACGTGTCACCACAACTAGAACCGGTTGAAAAAAGGTAAAGATATTTTGCAAAAAAATGTTAAAAGAAAAGAACCTTTTTTCATTTCGTTTGAAATTTTGGTGGGGAAAATCCCATGTGCTCTCACTGTTTTTACTCCCTACCCTTTCCATTTTCCAGTGGAAGAAAAGAGAGGAAAGTAAAAAAAGTGAGTGAGTGGGATTTTACCACCAAACAAAACATGTCAATATTTTTCAAAAATATATACAGAATTTCTTTGTTTGATTATTTTTTTTTGTCAAAAACAGGAAATTCTGGAGAAATCAAAATACTTGTAATTACACTGAAAAGTTTTGCAAAACACCATATTTCAAGTAATTTTTGTTTTAGTTGAAAAATGTTATTCCCTTCCAATAAAAACTACTTCTCCTGCAAGCCAAACACCTGCTTATTCAAATGCAAAGACATGCCCTATATTCTGACCTGGTAATTTCTCCTTTAAACAGCCTACAGTTTTTATATTACTCTTTGCAATACCTTCATCTTCCAATCTGCCAACCTTGTTTTTGAAATACAATGAACTGTTTTCTTAGCACCCCTCACCCTACCCCTCCTCACATTATTATATTAATGATATTCTAATGTATATTGTATTAATAATAATAAGCAGTACTCACCTACATTTTCCAGGGGTATTTCTTGCTGCTTATTGCAGCACTCAGCAACTCCTGTTCTTGTTGTACAGCGATGAAAAAATAAGGGACATCCCTTGTAATAAGGGACTGTTGGCAACCCTACCCTACTTTATGCTTAGGACTGATTGAAAATTTTCCTTTGAGACTGTTATTCAATAGAAAATAGGGACTTTGACTAAACAAATTGTGCATGGACGGTGCCTGCTGTCCTCAGAACATTTCAATAATTTGTTGAAAAACTGAGCACCTTTCAGCTAAAATCCCAGAACTGTTGGTCAAAAACCTTTTTGGTCAAAACTTTTCGGTTTTCAGCAGAAAATGTTTTATTTTAACGTTTTAGACAAAAAGTTGAAAATTTCTGCTGAAACCCCTGTCCCCCCATTTTTTGAGTAGCTGCTCTTCCTGCACTCACCCCCACCCTCTGTTCCAGCTTCAGGGGTCCTGGAGCAGGTAGGCTGGCAGTGAACACTCCCTACGAAGCAGAGGTTGTAGGGATCCTAAGGTGAACTCTGGTCCACTCAGAGCATCCCTGGGTACTAGGTTTGTGAAGCTGGAGCGTTTACTGGTGAGCCCTGACAGGTCTTTGGGAGCCTGAGGAGATGTTGGGGAGGGCTTGCTGTGTGCTGCCTCAGGAACAGGCCTTGGGAGGCTGCTGGGGAGCCAGCGGACGCAGTGAAACTCTGAACCTTTCATTGCCTGTGCTGTAAACCGATTGCTTTACAAAGAACACATCCTCCAGCAGCTTCCTGTGGCACAAATCACAACAAGAATGCTGGGAATTGTTTTATTTTATATATATAAAAAAATCTAACCTATTTCTTTAGTCTAGACTTACATAACATGGGGCCTAAAGTTTGAAATGCTACAGCTCAGCCATTAGTTAGCTGGAGGCAACTAAATAAAAGGTGAGGTTGTAAGCCTTTATTTAAAGAAGGAGCCATTTTAACTGCTTCTGACCCCTAAACTATTGAACAGAGTTGCTCCTAGCTGCTTTGAAAAGCCAGTCATTCCCTTAAGAGTAAGTGCTATAAGTCTGTAGCCCATACGCAGCGCTTTTTAGATGCAACAAAGCGATTTGATCTCCACTGTAGGTACGAATCTCCATGCAGCTTCAACTCTGGATTCCCTCCGGATGTCACCGTAACACTGAAGTAGAGATGTTAGAGACAGGGACACTACTGAAGTATGAGATCATCCAATCCACCTCCCTGCCAATGTGGGATTGTTTCCTATGGTCTGTTTTCTAGGGTTTTGTCCAGTCTAGTTTTAACCATGCCAAGGGAGGGAGCTTCTATCACCATGCCAATAGCAGATGTTAGTCTGAAATAATCCTGTGGGGATGCGTTTGGAAAAGTGGTCACATTTAAAGTTTTTAGCTTAAAATGTGTTAGGCTAGCTTCTCTGCTACACCCCTTGCCAGGCACAACACAGATGACCCCCGCTCAGGAAGAGGGTGCTAATCTAACATACAGCAGCCTCCCACAACTGCCTGCAGGCTGCACCCCAGCCCAGAACCTGCACAGCCCTCAGTGCTCTGGCCACTCCTCCTCCCACGACAGCATGCCCCCAACAACCCCCAGGCACGGCCCCTAAGCTGGATGCGGGGACAGCGGCAGGACAACATCTGCCACACTTACGATATTCCTGCACCAGGGAAATTCTCCTTTAGCTCGCTGCAGCCCCTTCATGGTCAGAGCTAGAGCAAAAAAATCCACTGATCTAGGCCAACTTCTGGCCGCACCCCTCTATTACAACCATAAATTTCAAAAGGCGATGACTGAAAAGCTGCTTTCAGGCTGCCTATATTATAATTCTAGCCATGCCAACAAGCAGTTGTCTAACTCAGGCACCCATGTTCTCACGTGGCTTTTGTTTGCAGTGTGAACAGGATAATATGGTTATAAATCATGTTAGGAAATCCTAGGGCAGCTTCATTGAGCTACAGTGCAGCAGTTCTGTAACTGTGTGATCCTGTACATGCGACAAACAAAATGAGCTGTTGAGCACAGACTCTCCTAACTGCATTTGTCAGGGCAGGGACTGTGTCTCCATCTGCGTTTAGAAAGTGCCTGGCACACTGTGGCCATGGGTGGAATCCAGCCAGAAAGCCCTGTTCTGACACAGGCTTGTGGCATAGACAGCAATGTAGCATTTCCATTGATTCCCAGAGGCAGCTGCAGGGTTGTCAATGTTTCATTGCCCACAAACCCTTAGAAATAGCAATTGTCGCTGCCTCTCGTCTCCCTCCCAGCAAGAGACACAATGAGGGTCAGCAGGGCAAAGTGATGTCTCCTTGTCACCTGGCGAAGGACCCTTCGCAGTCCGATCATGAACCAGAGTGGTGCTGTTTTTAACAGAACAGCTTTGAGTTCAGTGCAGCTTTCTGTTTGTGGATCTTAAAGTGAGACCCTAAAAAACTGATATTCTGTCTGATCTGGGAGAACATATGGCACTTCTCATAAGAGTGTAGGTTTCCCCTGGCATCCTTGGCCACCTCATCCCCTCCTGACGCAGTCATGCAGCAGGATGTACGTTGGCTCTCTCTGCTCCAGAGGCATCTGCATTTCAGTGATGATGCAATTCCTGGGCCAGATTTTCAGAAGATTTCTGCTCCCATTTAAGTAACAACGTAGGTGTCCAGATTTTCAAAAGAGCTCAGCATACTGACTGCATATCAGATGCTGAACTCTCTGGAAGTCTGTCCATAAGTGTCACAACGGGAGTTGCTAGGTGCTGAGCATTTTTTGAAAATGTGTCCCATTGTTTGTAAAGCACTTAGAGATCTTTATGGATGAAATGTAGATGTTATCATCATTATTATTCACTCTGAGCGAGTTCCATTGCACCACCAAACCTGAAGGCAGGACATAAGAATGGCCATACTGGGTCAGACCAAAGGTCCATCCATCCAGCCCAGTATCCTGTCTACCGACAGTGGCCAATGCCAGGTGTCCCAGAGGGAGTGAACCTAACAGGTAATGGTCAAGTGATCTCTCTCCTGCCATCCATCTCCACCCTCTGACAAACAGAGGCTAGGGACACCATTCCTTACCCATCCTGGCCAATAGCCATTAATGGACTTAACTAGATAAATGCATGGAGGTTCTCTTTTAAACCCTATTATAGTCCTAGCCTTCACAACCTCCTCAGGCAAGGAGTTCGCTGTGTGAAGAAGAACTTCCTTTTATTTGTTTTAAACCTGTTGCCCATAAATTTCATTTGGTGACCCCTACTTCTTATATTATGGGAACAAGTAA